TTCAAGTCAAACGTTATGGCATTATGTTTGGAAACCTGTAACAACAACCAGCCTAGCAACTGAGATGACGCCAGCAGGCCATTTGTACTTCTCTGAATCCCTCACATCCCAACATTCCTGCCTTTAATGGAGCACGGCATCAGGAAAGGGAAGAGTACTAAAACTTAACCAAAAGACCGCATTAGTTCAGGCTACAGCTTGATATCTGTGCACCAAAGATGTTCGACTCCACACTTGACTCTTAAAAAACCAGAGCTGTGCAATGATGTAGTGATTAAGCAAACAGCTGACGAACTGGACTTTGTGTGAGATGGGCTTCTAGTGGCTAAGTTACAGCAGCTATTTAGCGTTTTCTTCCCTTCAGGAAATACAGGTCCTTCTCAAAAAATTAGCATATTGTGATAAAGTTCTGATAAACATTAGACTTTCATATATATTAAATTCATTACACACAACTGAAGTAGTTCAAGCCTTTTATTGTTTCTAATATTGATGATTTTGGCATACAGCTCATGAAAACCCAAATTTCCTATCTGAAAAAATTAGCATATTTCATCCGACCGATAAAAGAAAAGTGTTTTTAATACAAAAAAAATCAACCTTCAAATAATTATGTTCAGTTATGCACTCAATACTTGGTTGGGAATCCTTTTGTAGAAATGGCTGCTTCAATGTGGCGTGGCATGGAGGCAATTCAATTCAATTCAATTCAAAAATACTTTATTAATCCCAGAGGGAAATTGATTGCTGTAGTAGCTCAGAATAATAATAATAATCAAGTCATCAAAGAGTTATTGTATATTACAACGGCTGTTGGCAGGAAGGATCTCCAGTAGCGGTCAGTGTTGCAGCGAAACTGAAGAAGCCTCTGACTGAAGACACTCTTCCGTTGTCGGACAGTCTTGAGAAGAGAATGCTCAGGGTTGTCCATCATTTTCTTGATTCTCTGGAGAATCCTTCTTTGCATTATCTCCTCCAGCGGTTCCACAGTCGTCCCCAGAACAGAACCAGCCTTTTTTATTAGGCTGTTGAGCCTTTTCAGGTCCCTGCTTCTGATGCTGCTACCCCAACAGACGATGGCTGAAGAGATTACACTCTCAACAACAGACTTGTAGAAGATCTGCAGCATCTTGCTACAGACATTGAAGGACCTAAGCGTCCTCAAGAAGTGCAGTCTGCTGTGTCCCTTCTTGTAAACGGCTTTGCTGTTCTTTCTCCAGTCCAGTCTGTTGTCCAGGTGAACTCCAAGGTATTTGTATTCCTCAACCACCTCCACTTCTTCTCCCATGATGGAAACAGTGTTTGACTCCACCCTGTTTCTTCTGAAGTCTAAAATAATCTCCTTTGTTTTGTTCACGTTGAAGGTCAGATGATTGTTTCCACACCATGCCACAAAGCGCTCCACCAGCTCTCTGTACTCAGCTTCCTGTCCATCTCTGATACACCCGACAACTGCAGAATCATCTGAGTATTTCTGTAGATGACAGGTCTCTGATTTGTACTGGAAGTCTGAGGTGTACAGGGTGAAAAGGAATGGTGAGAGTACAGTCCCCTGTGGTGCTCCAATGTTACTGATCGCCTGGTTTGATGTGCAATTCTTCAGCCTCACAAACTGTGGTCTGTTTGTCAGGTAGGCTTTAATCCAGGCGATAGTTGAGGCCCCCACCTGTGTCTTCTGGAGTTTCTGGCAAAATACATCAGGCTGGATTGTGTTAACTGCACTGGAGAAATCAAAGAACATGACCCTCACAGTGCTGCCTGCTTTGTCCTGATGACAGTGGGTTGGTTGAAGCAGCTGGATGATGGCATCTTCAACTCCAACCCCATGGCGATAAGCAGACTGCAGCGGGTCCTGATATGTTCTAGTTTGCTTATTCAGGTGGACCAACAGGAGTCTCTCCAGGACCTTCATGATGTGGGATGTCAGGGCAACCGGTCTGTAGTCGTCATTGACTGATGGGCGAGTTTTCTTTGGAACTGGAACAAGGCAGGATGTCTTCCACAGGACTGGAACCTTCTCCTGGGCCAGGCTGAGGTTGAAGAGGTGCTGCAGAATCCCACAGAGCTGCTCTGCACAGGCCTTCAGTATCCTGGGGCTGACACCATCCGGACCTGCAGCCTTGTTCCCGTTCAGTCTCTCCAGCTGCCTCTTCACCTGACTTCTAGAGACAAATAGGTGTGAGGGGGAGGTAAATGGGGCAGCAGCATCTCCTGACTTGGTTGAAGACGGATTTATAGAACCAGAAGAGTCCATGACTGCGTTAGAGGACAAAAGAGCTGGCGTGTGACAGGAAAATGTTGGATCAGAGGAAGATGGGATGTCTGATTGGCTGGGGACAGGCGAGGAGGATGCCGGGTTTGTTCCTGAACTGAACCTATTGAAGAACTTGTTCAGTTCATTGGCTGTGTCCAGGCTGCCATCTGTGCAATCCTTCCTCTGCTTGAAGGCTGTGATCTTCTTCATGCCTGACCAGACATCTCTGATATTGTTCCTCTGTAGGTTGTTCTCCAGCTTCTTCCTGTATGCCTCCTTGCTGTCTCTGATCTTGATCTTTTTTTTTTCGGAACTGCGCTGCTCTGAGTGGCTGCATGTTGGAGTAGCTCTGTAATCCTGAGCTACTACAGCAATCAATTTCCCTCTGGGATTAATAAAGCATTTTTGAATTGAATTGAATCTTCAGTTGCTTCTGTATACTCCTCAATAATTCCCTGTCTCCCTCCTTGAAGGCTCTTTTTTTCTCATTTAGCAGATTCTTCAGTTCACTGGTGATCCAGGGTTTGTTATTAGCGAAGCATCTCACTGTTCTGGTGGGTATTATATTATCCACACAGAAGTTTATATAATCAGTGACACATCCAGTCATGGCATTGATGTCCTCTTCATGTCCGTGGCAGAGACTCATCCAATCTGTGGCCTCAAAACAACTCTGCAGGGCTTCTTCAGCGTCCTGTGACCATTTTCTAACAGTTCTTCTTGTCACAGGTTGCCACTGAACAAGTGGTTTGTATTCTGAGCAGAGAAAAACAAGATTGTGATCTGATTGTCCCAGAGGAGGTCTTGTTTTGGACATGTATGCATTCTTTACATTTGCATAACACAGATCCAATGTCTTGTTTTTTCTGGTGGAGCAGCTGACAAACTGTTGAAATGTTGGAAGTGTGGCAGAGGGTGAGGCATGATTAAAATCACCAGATATAGCCACAAATGCATTGGGGTGCTGGGTTTGTAGCTTAGCGACTAGTATAAGTAAAGACTAGTATACGTTAAACTAATGAGTAAAGACTAGTTTAAGTAAAGACTAGTATACTTTAAACTAATATGAGTAAAGACTAGTATAAGTAAAGACTAATATTAATATACGTTAAACTAATATGAGTAAAGACAAGTATAAGTAAAGACTAGTATACTTTAAACTAATATGAGTAAAGACTAGTATAAGTAAAGACTAGTATACTTTAAACTAATATGAGTAAAGACTAGTATAAGTAAAGACTAGTATACGTTAAACTAATGAGTAAAAACTAGTATAAGTAAGGACTAGTATACGTTAAACTAATGAGTAAAGACTAGTATAAGTAAAGACTAGTATACGTTAAACTAATGAGTAAAAACTAGTATAAGTAAAGACTAGTATACGTTAAACTAATGAGTAGAGACTAGTATAAGTAAAGACTATTATTAATATACGTTAAACTAATATGAGTAAAGACGAGTATAAGTAAAGACTAGTGCACGTTAAACTAATATGAGTAAAGACTAGTATAAGTAAAGACTAATATTAATATACGTTAAACTAATATGAGTAAAGACTAGTATAAGTAAAGACTAGTATTAATATACTTTAAACTAATATGAGTAAAGACTAGTATAAGTAAAGACTAATATTAATATACGTTAAACTAATATGAGTAAAGACTAGTATAAGTAAAGACTAGTATACGTCAAACTATTATGAGTAAAGACTAGTATAAGTAAAGACTAGTATACTTTAAACTAATATGAGTAAAGACTAGTATAAGTAAAGACTAATATTAATATACGTTAAACTAATATGAGTAAAGACTAGTATAAGTAAAGACTAATATTAATATACTTTAAACTAATATGAGTAAAGACTAGTATAAGTAAAGACTAATATTAATATACGTTAAACTAATATGAGTAAAGACTAGTATAAGTAAAGACTAGTATACGTCAAACTATTATGAGTAAAGACTAGTATAAGTAAAGACTAGTATACTTTAAACTAATATAAGTAAAGACTAGTATAAGTAAAGACTAGTATACTTTAAACTAATATGAGTAAAGACTAGTATAAGTAAAGACTAGTATACTTTAAACTAATATAAGTAAAGACTAGTATAAGTAAAGACTAGTATACTTTAAACTAATATAAGTAAAGACTAGTATAAGTAAAGACTAGTATACTTTAAACTAATATGAGTAAAGACTAGTATAAGTAAAGACTAATATTAATATACGTTAAACTAATATGAGTAAAGACTAGTATAAGTAAAGACTAGTATACGTCAAACTATTATGAGTAAAGACTAGTATAAGTAAAGACTAGTATACTTTAAACTAATATAAGTAAAGACTAGTATAAGTAAAGACTAGTATACTTTAAACTAATATGAGTAAAGACTAGTATAAGTAAAGACTAGTATACGTCAAACTAATATGAGTAAAGACGAGTATAAGTAAAGACTAGTATACGTCAAACTAATATGAGTAAAGACTAGTATAAGTAAAGACTAGTATACTTTAAACTAATATGAGTAAAGACTAGTATAAGTAAAGACTAGTATACGTCAAACTAATATGAGTAAAGACGAGTATAAGTAAAGACTAGTATAAGTAAAGACTAATATTAATATACGTCAAACTAATATGAGTAAAGACTAGTATAAGTAAAGACTAGTATACTTTAAACTAATATGAGTAAAGACTAGTATAAGTAAAGACTAGTATACGTCAAACTAATATGAGTAAAGACGAGTATAAGTAAAGACTAGTATAAGTAAAGACTAATATTAATATACGTCAAACTAATATGAGTAAAGACTAGTATAAGTAAAGACTAGTATACGTCAAACTAATATGAGTAAAGACTAGTATAAGTAAAGACTAGTATACGTCAAACTAATATGAGTAAAGACTATGAGGCCAGTCTTTAAACGACAGCCGCTGTGTCTTTAAACGTTTTCTTGGTTTCTCTTCAGTTTTTTAAAAATGTATTCCTCTCTCTCAGTTGTAAACGTAGCTGTTTTACCTTCATCTGCAGATGGAGTCTCATCTTCCCTCTTACGTTTTTTGCTCTCAGGCATATTAACATTTGATCTGTAGTGCTCTTTGTACTTATTCCAGGTAAGCTTGGTGCAATCCCGTGGTTCGTCTAGCTGAATCTTTGGTCGCTTTTTCAGTGCCGTGGCCACGTCGTATGAAATGCATTCTGCTTTTCTTTTACCTTTCTGAATTTCCAATGGCGTGTGCAGTTGGACAGTCTTGGGGGAGCTTTGCGCTCCGTCTGACAGATTGTGGTGGCCTAAAGTTTTTAGTGGCTTGTAACACAGTTTAGCCTCTCTGTTGTTAAAATCCTGTTTCAAAGTCTTGTTTTGCTGTTTCTGCAGCTTAGCCCCGCCGGCAGATTCATTGGAAGGTTTGCCTTCGAGGTTATTCATAGCAGACAATAAATTCTGTTGACCTATGTTTAAAACGGTCATCTCGACATCTCTTTTAAACTTTTCCTGAGCCATTTTGCTGTGGTAGGTCTGAGCCAGATCTCTGGACTTACGGTATTTCTCTTCCATCATTTTGTTGGCCTCCACTTCATTGGAAAGTTGTTTCCTGAGGTATTTAATTTCCGTGAACTGCTTGTCATTTTGAAGACACATTTCAGTGTATCTGGACTGGAGTAATGACCTTTCAGATTTCTCCTTTTGCAGAGATGTGTCGCTCGCCCGCCATTTGCTCTCCATATTTCTGGTGGCCACCAGTTGTTCAGAAAGCTTTTTTCTAAGATCCATCACTTGTTCCCTCAGATGTTTAGTCTCAAGCATTAAATCAGCATTTTTTTCCTTAAGCTGAGAATTTTCCTGATGAACCGGCTCGTTTTTGGGTATACGATAATTTTGTAGTCCAGGCATTTTGATTAGAAGTAGACAGTTATTGACTGAAACTGCTCAATAACACAAGAACCACGCACTGAGTGAAGGACAGTCAGTAGAGCAAACTGGTCGTCTCTGGCTAAAGATTCCAAATGACTCAGACAGCGTTGTTCCTTTGTGACGTCATCGTCATGCCGTGGTCTGGTTTGCATCTCCTTTATGTGCAGAGGTGGAAAGTAACGAATTAAATTTACTCACGTTACTGTAATTGAGTAGCTTTTTAGTATATTTATACTTTTTAAGTCGTTTTTAAAATCTGTACTTTTACTTGAGTAAGTTTTTAAAAAATTGTAATTCGCTACATTTTTAATCATATCCGTTACGGAGTAAAAAAAATTGTAGGCTTAATAAATTAAAAATATTACGTGCAGCAGCGTCAGAACAGAAAGAGACACCTGCATGAGCGCCACGTCTAAAGGGGGGGGTACACCCGTGATAATGAGAACTGTCATGGTTTCTCCATTTAGATATTTGACCCACATACAAGATGACTCTCAAGAGACCAGGAGATGTAGTAAAAAAATAGTTTATTAGAGGTGAGCGGAGGCTGGCAGGGATGGGCTGGTTCCGGAGCTAGAGATTGGATCACTGGAAGAAATAACACATCAAATGATGATCGGGACGGGGAGATATTTATGTAGATAGTGGGGAGAGTTCTTACTGAGATTTGGTTGTAGCGGAGCGTGGGAGAGGTGAGCCCGGTGCCGGGGCTGCAGATGTGGAGGTTCGGAGCAGTGAGACGGGTTGTTGGAGGGTGAACAGGAGACGCACGGGAGGAGAACAGAGCCAGGGAGGATTCAGCCGTGGTTAGGGAGATCCGGGAGCTGCAGAGGCTGGTATGAGACTTCCACACAAAGATGTAATCCAGAACGGGTTCTAGGAATCCTGTGATGACAGACAGAGGTTTCAGGGAACAGACTAGAATAAGATCAGATAACAGGAACAGATTCAGGTGGCTGGACGTTAACAATCTGGCGCTGAGTGGCTGATTCACTGGCTCCTTTATTCCTCCCGTCTAATTACATGATGGGCTGCAGGTGAGCAGGGTGACTCTGCAGCCGAGGTAATTAGCTGGATGGAGTCTCCTTATGAGTCTCCCTAGCCCTCCAACAACCTGTGAAGAGGAAATGTGAACCCACAAACCCAGTACCTGACAAGAACAGCCATTTTTACCGCAGGTTTCCTCAAAAACATCAGTTCAATCCCTGTGATCCACTCGCTGTTTACCTCCTCTCTCCCTCCTCACCTGTTGGTTGGGACCCGCACCTTCGCGCACCGGTGTGACGTCATCGGAATTCTGCTCGGTTCGGTAACCAGACTCGGTTCCGTGTTTGAAACGTGTTTCTCTACCGCTCCGCACGGCAGCGGCAAAATAACGTTTAGCGCTCATAACAAGCGGATTCTCAGCGCTTTGCTCATAAAACAGAAGACCTGCAGGTCTCTGTGAGTTAATCCTGATACTGTTCAGGTGTAAACATTGTGCTCCATCCCTGTGTTTGAACTCAGAAGATGCTCCTTGATGCCACAGATATGTGATGATTGAGCTTGTTTCTTTATTTTACTCCAGAATAAGAGAATAAATTATTACAAAAGCAGCTCAGTGTTAGTCATTCAAATGATTCGTGCTGCAGTGTGTGTGTGTGTGTGTGTGTGTGTGTGTGTGTGTGTGTGTGTGTGTGTGTGTGTGTGTGTGTGTGTGTGTGTGTGTGTGTGCGTGCGTGTGTGTGTGTGTGTGTTACACATATAGGACTGCATGAGACAGCATGGTTTCATCAAATCCATGCATCCTATATCTTGGCTGAAGTAACGGCTCAGGAAAATAATTTATATTTCATAAATAATGACGTCTCTGCAGTGTTTATGATAATGTTTTATCTTATATTGGACCTATCTTTTGTCTGGGAGGTGTAACATATCATGATACAAACCTTTTAAATCATGTGTTACAAGAGGAGATGAATGCATGAATTTAAAGTTCATGTTTGGAGACCACCCTTCACAGTTTGGAGGCTCATGCTGGTGGGGAGACACCATTAGTTCTAGTAACACCTGGGCTCCCAAGTAGAGAGCCCTGCACTGAAGCCCTAGGCCCTCGGGTCGGCCTGGCCCGAGGGCCAGGCTTCGGGCCAACGACTGTGTAATTACCTCGTAGTGATGGGAATTCCGGCTCTTTTTAGAGAGCCGGTTCTTTTGGCTCAGCTCACCAAAAAGAGTCGGCTCTTCCGGCTCCCAAGTGGCTCCTCAGATTTTCTGTTGCGTAGAGTACATTTATAATCAAAATAATGCAAAACTATATGTAAAATGATTTACTAATATAAATAAATGCAATACATAAAATATTTATCATTTCTATGGATTTAATAACGGAACACTTTAAGAAATCTCCACTTTCCGACTGCTGGCGCTCATTTTCTCACCGTCTTCGTCGCACTCTCCTCTCTCTCGCTCGCCTTTTTCCTCCTCCTCATTCACTCTCGTCTCCCTCCACCCGCATGTGCTCTGCTGTGTGTCTGAGTCTGATCCTCCCTCTTCCCCGTCCCTACTGCTCTGTGTGTGGACAGTCTGGACACGCAGTTACACATGTTGACCAATCGCCTGTAGCTTTCACCAAAGCAAGAGGGTAGGAGACGGCTCCCAATGACGAGCCGGCTCCCGTCGTTCACTTCAAAGAGCCGGCTCTTGGAGCCGGTTCGTTCGCTACCGACACATCACTATTACTTCGGACACGGGCCAGGCCGGGCGCCTTTATTTTGAATCGAATTCATAAAAAATTGAAACAGTAGAGCCCTGCGCGGGACTGTTTTCTTCATCCCGCTCCTGCCCGCTCCCGCTGAATTTCTGACCATTACCGCCCGCACCCGCAGCGTGCATGTCTACTCCCGCCCGCAACCGCAAAACTCAGAGAAATTATTACGTCACAGTAAAAGAGATGTATTGAGTTTGCGTCCTCAACGTGTCATTTTATAGGCTATACCAGGGGTCGGCAACCCGCGGCTCTTCCATCCATCTGATGCAGCTCTCTGTGCTTGTAAAATAATGAATGGATATTTAAATAAAATGCTTTATATTTTACTGAATTAATTTTATATCTGTAAGTCAATTCTATGTAAAGATTGTCTGCGTAAACCTGAACAGGCCCAACCCGGTCTTACTGTGAGACCGGGTTGATGGGTCACGCTTGTGCGTAATCGTAGGCGCTTATGAGCTGAAGAGGATGTGAGATTCTGGGATTCTCCTCGGACGGCTCCTGGATGCATCACCACATTGGAGACAGGAACAAGCACTATTCAGTCAAAGTTTCATAATCAGAGAACATTTTCTAAGTGACAAGTCTCTCTGAGAGACAGGGTTTGGAAAACACTCGCTTCAGTGGGAGGAACCTTCCCGCATGCGCTCTGGTTCTGCGACGCGCTCCAAGCCAATCTCCACAACTTCAGCTCGCTGTGCACATATGCGCTGACAGCGAGCTGCGCTGAGCAGTGTCCAGCTCAGATGTTGAGAAGGGAATCTTTTCTTGGGTGATTTAGCTACATCTGCGATGTGCGTAACAAATAAAATGTCAGTTCATCTGCATGCGTCGGGGTAATTCTTTCTATTCTCTGTCAAAATAAACGATCAAATACGGGAACTATCCGGTCAACACAAGCCCTGCTTTTGACTGTTCTGTTTTCTTGTGAAAATTGTTGGAAAGAGATCAAATTTAACTTGATTACCACCAGAGCCTGTGCCGTTATCTCCGTGACGGTAAATGAGGGAAAAACAAATTGATCGGATCCTGCACGTCTTTTAACACATTGGTCAGGATTGACGCACTTTGTTTTCATTTAGTTGGTTAAAAAAAGTCGGGCTTGGGCTCGGGTCGGGCCAGAGAGTCCTGAAAAGCTTTTCGGACCGGGCCGGACACGTGCTCAGATTTTGGGCCCAAGGCCTATTCTGACAGGATGGATGTTACGGGACCCTTAAGGATTCCAGTTGGATGATTGGAGGATTATTTAGGAGGACTGGAATGAACAAACTGATTTCAGTGGTGAAGGGTTAAAGGTATTGGCTCGGCATTAAAATTGTAGAAATGCAAAATAACTACACTTTACCATCTAAATAAACATGTACTGGGTTCAGTTTTTATTCTGTTAAGGACTTTTTTCATAAATCATTACAGAAAATCCAAATCCTCTCCTCCAGACAGTGAAGAACTGTGATTCGCATACGTCACTCCAGCACGTAAAACAAGCTAGCTGCTGATGCTAGTATTGTGGATCACTGCTATTTGTTTATTTGTTTACTTTCATGCTCCTAATAATAACAACGTAAAATTGTGTTTACAGCTGCAGCAAAAGGTCTGAGCCATGTGTCCGTGTCCTACACGCATTTTTAAATAACAGGTCTGATCTAAAATAATAACCTACATCTATAAATCCATCTAGAACTGCACCGCTACTTCTGGACTCCAGACGAGTCCTGTTAGCATGACTGCAGCAAAACTGCTGACCGTGTTAGCTCCGGTAAGGAAAGAACAAGTCCTTTGGGAAAGCTATGACACACACACACACACACACACACACACACACACACACACACACACACACACACACACACACACACACACACACACACAGATATAATCTAAAAGATGATCTCTATATTTCAACATTAGAACCTCCATGACATCCTGGATTAGTGCAAACAACGAGTTGAGCTAAGGAGTTACTCCAGCATCAGGAAGATTTATTCTGATAAATTGTCGGTTAAATTAAATATTTTCCAGAGTTATATCAATAAATACACACAGCAGTAAAACTGTAGATTACTGAACTTTATTGGGACACATGATGGAGCTAAGGGCAGCTGAGAACTCGTCAGCTTAGAGCTCCCAGTGGAGCACAGAAATAAAATATTTAAGAAAAGTAAACAAACTGTACCGATTTTGGTTCTGAAGATGAACAGAATCCTCCTATGTCCAAATCGGGTCGCAGGTCTTCTGAGTCAAACGGTCTAAAACATGTCTGCACCTCTGGTAGTGATATCCAGCTGGCGGGGTCAGAGTTCGGTTGAACTTTTCCGGTAATCCAATATCCGTTCTGGTCGCCGTATCCCAGAGATAAACAAATCTGACCGACTAGCAGAGGCTTCACTAGCTACATCTGATTGATGACACACTGTTCTCTGCTATAACGCTAACGCAGAAACACCGGAGTCAGGCGTTGTTTACTGCAGCTGTTTCAGCAGAGCTCCATGTGAAACGTCACCAGCTGCCCAGGGCTTAGACCGGAAGTTAGTTTCTGTTTTTCCCGCGCCGGTCACAAACATCAGATTTTCTTACAATTCCAGCCGTCAAAATCCAGAAAATCTTTTTCATCTAAGGTTTTAATACACATTTACACATGCTGTTCAAATGAATTTTGCCTCTGGCTGATATCTTTAAATGAGTGAGTGAACCCACTTCCAAAGATGAACTCTGCTAACTTTAAAAATCAGCTGCTCTAAATAAACATGAAGGTCAGAGAGGAGCTCTAGGATGGACATGGATAAAGGAACTGTAATGTAGAGGTAAAGTAGGGCAGGGCCAACGTGAACAGCTGTCATACGGTCTGTTTGACGTTCATTTAGCTTGTTATGTGACAGGTTAGAGCACAGTCTCATGTTAGAGTTTTGTCATGAGAACATTGAGATACCTCACATACTGATGGCATCTAAAAATTAACATTAGTTTTTCAAAATAAAGAATAATTTTAATCACAAGTGAAACGTACAATCCTAGAAAAACCTCGTCCAATCAATGTGCATGTCCTGCTCTGACTGATTGGATAGAAATCCTTCCAACAAACTGTGTGTGCGTGCACACACGAGCGCGTTGTGAACTGGTGTTGTGGTTTTCACTGATGTAACCATCTTTACGCAGACAAAAATGTAACTAAGTAACTTTTACTTTGAGTACATTTTATGTACAATACTTTTTACTTTTACTTGAGTAAAAATTTAGGCAAGTACTTTTACTTGTAATTGAGTAAAAAATTATCAAAGTACTGGTACTCGTACTTAAGTAGGAAATTTTAGTACTCTCCACCTCTGGGAGCGACACAGTCAGGGAGGCCGGGGCAGATCATGACACAATGTCCAGTTGGTTCGCCATCACCATTTTGTCAGTCTGGATCTGGAAGTCCTGAAGGAGCTTGGCTCTCTCTTTCTCAACCACCTTAGGGGGTGTTACCCACTGCGACCTTGGAGCTTCCAGTCCATACTCTGCACAGATGTTCCTGTACACGATGTCAGCCATTTGGTTGTGGCATAGCATGCTTTCCCTGCCAGCACCTCACACCCTCTGTACTGTCCTTCAGACCAGCTCTTTCTAGCCATTGGTAGGATTTCTTGATATCAGCCCTTTCAGTTATCTGTCGGTGGTGCATCCCATGTGGGGGGTTGTCCTCTCACAATGGTATTTCCAG